AATATATGTTTAGCATGAGCTCAATCAGGAAGCTACACCTTCCAGGTGCCAAAAATATTTTTCTTTTGTTACGGGGGATTGAACTCAGGACCTTACATTAGAAACTTTATACATATGGGGCCGGGGATTTAGCTCGGTGGTTCTGCCGCCTGCCTCACAAGCGCAAGGTCCTGAGTTTGATTCCTGTACCAAAAAAAAAAAAGATGATGGAAAAAGGGAAGTAAAAAGAACTAAGGTATGTTATACACATGTACCAACTCCCCACGATGAACGTAATCATCATGTACTGTAAACTCATAAAAAATTAAAAATAGATGATTAGTATACATAATTTATATGCTGAGACTCAAACCCAGGTCTCCATGCATACTAGAGAAGTGTGAGACCATCCATAGGCTCAATTAAGAGAAAAGGAGGAGCGGGGGGGAGAAAGAAGAAAAGGAAAAAAGAGAAGAAAAACTGTAGCCTGTGTACTGGCTGCCTGATTTTGTAAATAAAGATTTATTGGAATCAGGGCTGGGATTAAGTATGAGATGAGAATTTCAAATTCAAGTGCAAGGTGTAATTCTCTTTCAAAATCTTGATGTTTTTCATCATGGATTTTTTTTGGCATTTTGATTTTTAAAAAGTAAACAAGGCATGGTAGTGTACTATTGAGCCTGGTAGCAGAGCAAGACCTTGTCTCAAAACAAACAAATAAACAAAAACACCTCATTAAAATATTATCTTTATTTCTGAGACAAGGTCTCACTTTGTAGTCTATGCTGGACTTGAAGTCACTATGTAGCCCAGGCTGGCTTTGAACTCACATTGATTCTCCTGCCTCAGCCTCCCGAGTGCTGGGATTACAAATGTGTGCCTCCACACTTGGCTTTATCCCCATTTTATCCATGAGGAAACTAAGGCACAGAGAGGTGAAGTGACTTGCCGAGATCACACAGGGAAGAAACAGGTAGAGCTGGGATTTGAACCTGGGCAGCTTTGGGGTGTGTGTGTGGGTGTGTGTGTGTGTGTGTGTGTTTGAGAGAGGGTCTCACTATGTAGCCCAGTCTGGCCTCAAACTCATAGTGATCCTCCTGCCTCAGCCTCCTGAGTGTTGGGATGACAGGTGTGTGCCAACATGTCTGGCCTATTAGGCCCTTATGAGCCATGCAAGGCCCTGTCTACTCTTCCTGCTCAGGATCAAATGTGGCTGGGGGAGGAAGGTCAGATTTTAGCTACACCACTCTTATTAGGAAACCTGGGAGACAGAGGCGGGTGGAGGGGATGGCTTGGCTCTACCTAGGTGCCTGCCCCCGACTGGCTGGTGCTCAGGGCTGCTCGGAGCTCCTCGGGGGCAAAGACACCCAGCTCTGTGATGATGCCACCGGTGATGAGGTCATGTGGGGTAATATCGAAGGCAGGATTCCAAACTCCAATCCCTGTGGGAAGAGAAGACATTAAGGAGGCAGGGACTGGCTTTGCGAAAACCCTCAGCTGTTGTCACCTGTCTCCACCACAGTGGTTCTTGGGGTTGGGTAGCCCTTGAGAATCTGGGATTCCTCACTCTCACAATGGACAAAGACATGGACACTGATCCGAGCAACAGGGTTACGAGGTCAGATCCCCCTACCACTCCTGGACAGTCACTGCCCACAAAGGCTTCAAACTCTTTTTTGAGACAGGGTCTCGCTATCTAGTCCAGGCTGGCCTTGAACTTGTGGCAGCTCTCCTGCCTCAGTCCCCTGAGTGGTGGGATTATAGGCATGTGCCACTATGCCCCGCTTCCCTCTTTCTCCTGACAGCTCACCAGGTGCTGCAATCCTGACTCCGTTCACATCGGTGAGCTCATGGCTTGGCCGCTCCTCGATGACGATGTCCTGGCCAGTCTTCAGGCGGAGGTCACAGGAGGAGCTGGGGGCGGCCACATAGAAGGGGATGCTATGGTGCTTGGCGGCGATGGCCAACTGGTAGGTGCCCACTTTGTTGGCAGTGTCTCCGTTGGCGACCACGCGGTCAGCTCCCACGACGACAGCTGGGGGTGAGAAACTGGATGAGCGGTCACTAGGCCAAGTCCTGGCCACCTGGGCCCCCCACACCTGCCACTGACCTGACACGCCCCTGTGGGCCATGGCAGCAGCTGCCATGCTGTCGGCGATGAGCGTAGCAGGGATGCCCTCGTATACCAGCTCAAAGGCTGTCAGCCGTGCACCCTGGTTGTAGGGCCGGGTCTCCGTGCAGAAGGTGTGCTCTAGGCGGCCCAGCTGGTGCAGGGAGCGGATCACACCTATGGGCAGGCAGGCGAGGGCAGGGTCAGCACTGCAGGTCTCACCAGCTCTACTTGGCACGCTGTTCCTCAGATCCCTGCAGCATCTCCTCCACATCTGCCTGGATGACACCTTCTCCATGAATCCTTCCCTGGTTCCTCAGTCATACACAGTGGTCTGGCCCCTCGGTCTGAGGCGGCTCTGTCCTTAGTGTTTAGGATCTTCTTTTTTGGTAGTACTGGGGATTAAACCTAGGAACTTAACATTGAGCTATATCCTCAGCCCTTTTTAAAAAATTTGAAACAAGGTCTCGCTATGTAGTCCAGGTTGGTCTTGAACTCACTGTGTATGTAGGTCAAGCTGGCCTCAAACTTGCAGTGATCCTCCTGACTCAGCCTCCCAAGTACTGGGATTACAGGTGTGCACCACCATGGCCGGTCTGAGCCAGGTTCAGACCTGAGTTCCCAGGGATGAGGCAGGACCCCAGCAGGTAGAAGACTGTCTGCCACCAGGAAGTTTACCACCTAACTCCCTCTCCTGTGGCTACCCCAGTCTTACCTGGGGGGAGGTCAACCCCTTCCTGTCAGTCATAAGGGGCCACATTCTGGTCATCTTCTAAGCCTATGGCTCAGGCAGCTCTGAGGTGGACAAGTGGCTCTGTCAGACTTCATGAGATATGAGAAAACTTGTCTGCTATGCTTTTAGCCCCTAGATCTAGCTGCACCTGAAGTTAACTCAAGTGTTTCTATACAAGAACTAAGGCAGTCAGGTTTTGTTTATGTGAGGGTACAGTAGTTTTGGCTTAGTTTTCTGTCTTGTTTCTGGTGGCTGGGATTGAACCTTGGGCCTCAAGCATGCTAAGCAAAGTTTATGCTTTTACCACTGAGCTACACCTGCAGCCTGGTTTCTTTCTCTTGTACCACCAAATGGCCCTTTCCTCCCCGAAGATGCCTACTCACCCAAGGCTGTGCCGTAGCCAGCAGTGGCCAGTGCACCAGTGTTGCAGTGGGTCAGCACGGTCACCTTGCCACCCTTGGGGGCTGCTTGCTCCAGGAGGTGGTGGGCTCCCAGGTCCCCGATGCTGCGGTTGTCCCTGAGGTCCTTCTCCAGCATGTCCTCAGCATATCGAATCACTCTGGGGCAGAGGACAAGGGGGTCTCAGCACCAGCTTATGGCCTCAGGGCCCAGGCCAGCCCCTCCTGTCCGCCTGGTACTGTTCTGTGGGGCCTTCTTCCTGGAAGCCTCTCGTTGCTGAGGCCTGGATACTTCTGCTACCATCATGAATCTGTCACCATGTGCTCATGTGACACATTTTCCCAGAACTTCCTCTGTGCCTGGTACCAGGAGGGGGCACAGCAATAAACAAGACAAAAATTTCTGCCCTGATGGCCAAGCGGGATGGTATAACACCTGTAATCCCAGCTGCTCAGGAGGCTGATCCCTGAGGACATTGGAGTGAGGAAGGCAAGGGAAGAGCTGATAATAAAGTGAAGGAAAAAAAGCAGAATCAGGCACGCGCAGTATTATAGCCTTGGGGAAGACAAGCCAGAAAGCTAGCATAGGCTCCTGCAAAGGCTCTGGGACTAGAGCGAGCCTGTAACCAGAGGGAAATGGTGTGACTGGGGCAGAGATGAAGAGGAGGAGGGGCAGGGAAGAGATCAGGATAGGAAGCGAAATTCTTGCAAAGCAAAAACTACGAGAACGAAGTGGCACACGAAGGCCGGGCAGACTTAGGGGCAGCACAGAATGCCAGGACTCTGGGGCCAACCTGCCCGGAGTAGCTTTCTAGCCCTGGAACCTGGGACATGGGACTCAAGTACACCGTGCCTCAATTTCCCAGTGCACAGGCGGTAGCTCCCGCCGGTGAAGTGGGCGGCTTCGGCTTCCGTACCTCTCCCGCACCGCCTCCTCCGTGGCACCGTCGCGTGCTGCCTCTCGGGCCACGGCGTCCCCCAGGTCGCGGGCGGCCCGGGCCATATTGACGGCGGTGGGCCGCGCGGTGACCAGGAGGTTCAGCCGGTCGCGCACGAAGGCCGCGAGCTCAGCGGGGCCCGGGCCCCCGGCGCCGGTGCGCAGCTCCACGGCGAGACTGAGGCAGCCCACGAGCGCAATAGCGGGTGCGCCACGCACCTTCATGGCGCGGATGGCCTCCCAGGCCTGCTGTACCGAGCCCACTGCCTCGTAGCGGCTCTGCTGCGGGAGAAGCAGCTGGTCGAGCACCCGCAGGGAGCCGGGCTCGTAGCATATAGCTTCCAGCGCCATGCTGCCGCCACGCCCTCGGACGCCAACGCGTAGGCGCGGGACCAGAGCATAAGGGCGGAACCTCAGCGGAAAGCAGCGCACGCTCACCGCAATCCAGATTCCCGGGACCGGCGAGCCCAGCACAACGGCTTGCTCTGAAGTGCAAAGTGGCAGCCTTTATGGGGCGTCCACTGGATGCAGGCCCTTGTATTTAACGTGTGGCTGCTAGTGTATGTGTGCCACACCTTGAGTTGCAACCTCAGGGGGGCTCCATAAAGCACCCGAGGCCTCCAGCCAGAGCATTAGTCCTGGTGGTCTCACTACACCAAGGCACTAGTTGGGGACCTCCCATCCTGATACTGGAGATGAACCCAGGGCCTTCACACTGAGCTACATCCCCTACTCTTTTGAGACAAGGTCTCGTTAGGGTGCCCAGGTTAGGCTTCAACTTGCCATCTTCCTGTCTCAGCCTCCCACAGTACGGAAGTACCGGCCTGTGCCACGAAGCTGGACCTCAGTCAAGTTCTTCACAGCTTTCCCGAAGCCTATCCTCATGGGATAGGGCAGCAGGCCACCTTCAGAAAGGTGGGCACAGGCGGGCACTGAATTTGGTGAAGTCATCCCCCAAAAGCAGGGCATCTTTCCCATATCCCTAGGGGCTGGCAGACAGCAAGGGCTCAGTTGATGTTTGTGACATCCTCTTTAACACTGAGGCGCGGGCCATACACACATGATGGACCCTAGCCATTTTCCAAGCCATCAGAACTTTTCCATGAGGTCCCTGTGGGCTGCAGGAGCTTGGCCTCCCCATGCGTCCCTGCTGCCTGGGGCTCTCCCACCTTTCACTCCAGGAAGTTAGCCCTCTCACAGTCATCTTCGTCCTAACTGTGGCCCTGGGGCTCAGACTGTAATCCAAGGCAGGGGCAAAAAACAGGGCTTTAATGTTGGGTTGTCGGGGTCCCACAAGGGACAGGTGCCCAGGCGCAGACCATAAATAACTGTGAGGCTTTGGGAAGGTGCGGTGCGGGGAGGCTGGAGGCAGGTGAGCCTCCTGGAAGTGACACCTGTGTATGGTCCAAGCCCTTCACTCACTGCTCTCTGAGTCTGAGTAGTCAGCCACCAGTGAGGAGCAGCCAGGGTTCGGGCTGTCTGTTTCCTGGGAGCTGCCTGCAGGGGGCCAGGGTTCATCCTGGCTGCACCCCTCCTGTTCCCAAGGCGGGCTGGTCTTGGGGCTCTCAGCTGTATCTTGAGGGCAGTCCTCGGGAGATGCAGATCCATTCTGGGGGTTCCCCTGTGGCCTTTGCAGCTCCCAGGTTGTGAGGGGATCGGTGGTGTGCTGGGGGCTCCCTGGGATGTCCCGAGACCGCCGCCGCACAATGCCCAGGTCGCCCACTGTGATGGGGGCACAGGTGGGGGGTCCTGCCCTGCGGCCCTGGGCCAGCTTCTTCAGCATGCTGCTGGCCTTGCTGCTGCTGGCGCCGGGCCCTGGGAGGGCGGGGAACCAGGACCGGCTGATGATTTCTGTGCGCTTTAGCTTCTGCTTGGCCTCGTAGGCTGAGGGGAGGAAGGGATATTTAGGGGGGCAGGAGGGGCTAGGGATGCGGCTCCGTGGCAGAGTGCTTGCCTGGCACGCACAAGGCCCTGGGATCCAGCCCTGGGACCCTCCCCTGTAAAATGCTCTGGAAAGACTGCAGTCCAGAGCCCAGCCACCCTGCTCAGCTCTGGCCTCCCTGTGGTGGGCCTCACTCACAGTCCAGTGTGTGGAACTTGAGGAGGGCAGCCAGCCTTCGGTCATCCTCAGTCTCAGGCACCAGCGGGATGGCCAGGCAGGCCTTGGCCTGCAGCGCCTGATCCCGCTCCTCCTCCTCTTGGGCAGCCTTCTTCTTCTCCTGTGTTGGGGACAGCACGGGGCATGGTGAGAGCCCTGTAGCTGGGGTCTCAGTCAGCTCCTCTTCATGCTCCCGGGAGGGAGACCTGGACACATAGCTGTTGGTGCCAGTCAAGCCCTCCCTCGTCCACCTCAACAAGAGTCATGGCTGGAGAGTGACGGCTGGGCCAGCGACCGACTGGGTACCTGCCGGTGGCCTCTGAGATGATGGAGCTGCCACTCTCTACTGCCTAGTGTCGCTGTGGCTGGTGTACCTTCCTGTGCAACACACCTCCTTCTGACTGTGGGGACGCCAGTGTGACGCAGTTACCACACTGCCAGTTGGATACAACCACAGCACCTGATTATGCAGAGGTACCGTGCTTAATAGTGGCAGTAAATGCTGCTATTGTTTACATAGACTATACTTTAAAATACGTATCCATCTTTGGTACGCATTTTTCAAAACATAGAGTCAGGTTTTTTTGGAAATTGCTCTTGCTACGCTGCCCAGGCTCACATTGAACTCCTGGAATCAAGCGATCCTCCTGCCTCTGTGTATTTCTGTAACAGCAGTGCCATGAACTAAAGGTGCGATCCTCATGTGAGAGATGGGGAAACCAAGGCACAAGGTAAAAAGATCTGCTTACAGCTGGGGCATGGTGGGGTGCTGGCTGGGCCCGCCTTAACCCTGCTCCGCTCTCCAGCCCCTCCTCCAGGGTCGCCCTGACCGGCCAGCCGGCCACGTGCCCCTCCCCCAAGCCCCACCCCCTTCACCCGGAAGCGCTTGCGCAGCATGCTGTTCAGCGCGAAGTCGTCTTTCCAGGCACTCTGGGCCTCCTGGAGGTTGCTCAGCGTGGGCATGGCCTTTCGGAGCGAGCTGCGGTCTGCCTCGCCATGCTCTAGGCGGAACATGGCATCTGTCTCCAGCTTCTGCTTCTTCTCATGCTCTGTAACAGCCGCGACAAGGTGGCTCCAGGGACCTGGGCGCTGGCCCCGGCGCGCTGGGCAGGGCTGGCGGGTGGGCGGGTGCACTCACCTGTGGGCAGCACCTGCTCATTGTCTTCCATATCCCAGCGCTCCTCCTTGCGCTGCGCACCGCTCACGATCACATAGTCGCAGTTGGCAGGATCCGTCTGCATCTCGATGTAGTTGACGCACAGGTGGCATTTCATCCGGAACCTGGTGGGGCAGGGCCAGTGGCCATTTCCTCGAGCCCAAGGGCTCATGGCCACCTATGCTACTGGCTCTGCATGGGGTCCTGCCCCGCACCCACCTGCACAGGGGTGAACCCAAGGCCAGGTGCAGGGATACAAATTCACTTGGCAACCAGAGGCCGGGATTCCATGCCCAGTGGCACAAACAAAACATAAAGCCCAAGGAGGCTGGAGTGGACTCATTCATTCATCCACTCATTCATTCCACAGACCTATCCAAGACAGACTGCTTGATGCCAGCTGCTGGGGACCAACTGAGCCACCTGTTTTTTGAGGGGGGCATCACAGCAGGGGACAAGCAGTTGCACACCATTGGGGTGAGTGCTGCTTCACAAAAGCCCCTGTGAGGGTGCGGTCTGAGCAGACAGCCCAGCGAGGGAAGGACAGAGTCTGCAGCTAGCTGGGAAGAACACTCTAGTGGAGGGCACAGGCGGGAGTGTGGCCAGGTGGAGGATGGCAGGGGCCAGCAGGGCTGTGGACACACAGGAGAAGGGAGGACAAGGGAGGGAGGAGCAGGGCCTTGTGGGCCCAGGAGAGGGCCTGGATTTTCTTGAGGAAGGTGAGAGCCACAGGGAGTTCTGGGTGGGGGATCTTCCCTGACTGACAAGCAGAGTGGCCCAAGGAGACTCCCTGCAGCCTCCTTCTCTGCCCTGCCCCTGCTGTCCCCTTACCTGTAGATAGGGGTGGTGTAGTAATTGCCCACTTTTTTCTTTTCTGCATTGTAACGAACTCCTGCAGGGTGGAAGAGAAGGGAAGCTCAGGCTGGGCTATGCCAGCATCTTTCCTCCGGGATGGGGCAAGGTATATGGTGTGGCTCCACTCATAGGATGGAGCTCCAGCTGTCACCGGAATTCAAGGTTGGGCAGAATGCATCCTGGCTGCACCCACAGCTGCTCACACCAGAGGGGTGGCTGGGCTGGAGGTCTGGATTTGAATTCCAGCTCCACTGCCTATGCAGCCTTAGGCCGGGTGCCTCGCTCCCTGGGCCTGTTTCCCCTTTCAGTCAAGGAGGATGACCGTAGTGCTGCAGCCAAGACACGGGAATTGCTGCACCCCTAGAATGTACTTTATAATAAACCAGATTCCCTGAGTCCTGTCAGTTGAGCAGATTAACTGAACTCGGTGAGGGGAGCTTGAGAGCCTGATTTATAGCTGGTTGGTCAGGCCAGGGAACACCAGCCACGGCTGGTGGCTAGCATTGGAAGTGTTGTGGGAATGGGACAGCCCTGGGGATGCAGCTTCTCCAGGTGCGTCAGATGACACCCAGCGGGATCCTCTGCTTCGAGGTGTGTGCTTGGAGGGTGGGTGACACCCCCATCGGGTGTCAGAAGGGACGGTGCAGATGGCTGTGGTCTGAGGCACAGAGGGAAGACTGGATACTGTCTTGTACGACAGAGGCAGAAATGGAGCCAGGAACTCAGATCACCTGCCCGAAGTCTCAGGGCTGTGGAGCTGGCGCTGGCAGCCTGGCCCTGTGTGGTCTGCTCCGGGCCGTGTGCAAATGAAAACAGCAAGGGTGTTGGCAGCTTGCCTTTCCCAGACTTCGGCATGGAGCGCGTGGTTTTTTCTCCTGGTGGTACTGCAGACTGCATCCAGAGCCTTCACACTGAACTACATCTCTAGCCCATTTTAATTTTATTTTTGAGCGGGTGTCACTAAGTTGCCCAGGCTGCACTCGAACGCGTGATCTTCCTGCCTCAGCCTCCCAGAGTGCTGGGATGATAAGCCCGCAGGACCACACCAGGCTTATACTAAACACTTTATATGTCATACAGCTAGGCCCTTGCATCGTCTCAGTTTTACACAGAGGTAAACAGAGGCACAGAGAGCTCAGCTGCTTACTGAGGGTCTCCTGGGTAGGAAGGGGTCGATGGGCTGGAATCCAAAGGTGGCTCCCCAATCACTCTGCATCTTGGGGGCCTGCTTCCTTCCCGCCTCAATTCCTGATTAGGAGGGGACAGAGTCCTGCAGCGCCCAGCACCTCAGGGCTCCACATCTGCAGGACCGAGTAGTAAGTGAGGTAGGGAGCTCACCCATGCCGATGTGGTTCTGACAGCCATCACACCAGATGTTATATGGCATCTCGAACCTGCAAGGACAGACAGTACCTTGTGGTTGTTTGTTTTTGAGACAGGGTCTTGTTACGCTGCTCAGCCCTCAGCTCCTGGGCTCCTGCCTCCGCTGTCTGAGGAGCTGGGACTTCAGAGGTCCACCAAGTGCCTGGCCAGACAGTATCGTACTGGCACCTGTCCCCCTGTGCTCTCCCTGGCTGGGACTGTGATCTGAGGGGTGGGTGACAGATGCCAGCTCAGGGTGGGAGTGGCTGCGGTCTCCTTGCGATGGACATGGATGGGGAGTGGGTAAAGAATCGGTGCCAATCCCGCCACATGCTGGGCCTCCCCAACCAGCTCTGCAGCCAGTGACCTGGGCCCCGTCACTTCGAGAGCCTCCTTGGGTGCTGCAGTGTCTTTAATGACTTTCTGTGTCTGTGAGACTGTTGGCTTTTTGCAGTGCTGAGGATGGAACCGAGAGCCTCATACTTGCTTGCTAGGCAAGCACACCCCCCTGAGCTATACCTCAGCCTTTTAAAAATTCTGAGACAAGCTCTTGCTAAGTTGCTTAGGCTGGCCTAGAACTTGTGATCCTCCTGCCTCAGCCTTCCCAGTGGCTATGGTTATAGACAGGCAACACCACGCCCGACTCCTAGACAAAGTGGAACAGAGCAGGCGGCCAGCTACAGGCTACTTCCAGGAGCAGTGTTGATGAGAGTTTAGTAAAGCTGCTGTGCTGTCATTGAAGTCACCTGATGACAGGGGTCTGTCCTGAGAACAGAGCCCTCAGTAGACTTGGTCATGTGAACATCACATAGTGAGCCGGGCGTGGTACAACAGCCTGTCACCCTAGGACTCTGGGAGGCTGAGGCAGGAGGATTGCAAGGTTGAGTCTGGCCTGGGCAACTTAGTGAGACTGCGACTCAAAAATAAAAAACAAGGGCCGAGGATTTAGCTTTAGTGGTTCTGCCGCCTGCCTCACAAGCGCAAGGTCCTGAGTTCGATCTCCGGTACCAAAAAAAAAAGAGCTGGGGATGGAGCTCAGTGTCAAAATAATTTAAAAAACAATCCCAGGGTAACAGGGCTCTGAGGTCAGGGGTGATGCAGTCTCAGGCATCACCCTTGTATACACACTTCATCCTTCCCTGAGACTTTTTTGGCAGCACTGAGATTTGACTCCAGGGCTTTCACACTGAGTTACAGCCCCAGCCCTGAGTTGAGGGTTCAGAGGCATGGACAGAGGCAGTGCAGGGCAGAGCTCAGCAGGTGAGCTGGGGCAGCTGTGAAGCGTGAAGAGGGGGCTCCCAAGGTCACTCTCGGGATCTGTCATCTTTCGTTACTGCTGTTTTGAGACGGGTCTCCACATGTAGCCCATGCAGGCCTTGAACTTGCAGTGCTCTTCCTGCCTCAGCCTCCTGAGTGCTGGGATTACAGGCGTGCGCCACCACGCCCAGCTAGAGCTCAACACTTGGCTTTCTCCTCAACAGACATTCCCCTGATGACTCTGCTGCTGGGCCCTCTGCTCGGGCTCAGGGCTGACCTCGAGACTGGGCTGGGAGTCCCCAGGGGAGGTGAGATTCAGTAGAGGAAGGACAGACAAGGGCTTGCTCTCCTGGGGTGACAGGAGGTGAGTTTTGCTTCCTGTAATGGGTCAGCTACCAGGGCGCTGGCCTGACAACAAAAGGCTAAGGCAGAGGAAGAGACACTGGCCATCCTGGCATGATTTTTTTTTTGAGATGGGGTTGCTATGCTTAGACTCCCAAGGCTGCCGGGAACACCTGGGCTCAAGTGATCCTCCGGCCTCAGTCTCCCAAGGAGCTGGGACTACACATGTGCCACCACGCCCAGCCCTGCCTTTACCCATCTCATATGTGTGACACTGCAATTCATCCCATGGAGAGGTGGCATCTGGCCCTACCCTGGAATCGTGACCTGCTTTGACCAATCGATGAGATGAGAGGAAGGAACAGTGCGCGAGCTCTGAGTCTTGGTCTGAAGAGGCCCAAGAGCTGCTGCAGGCTCTCATGCTGAGCCCGGGCTGCCAGCCAGGGGATGAGACGTGGCAGGGAGCAGAGCCCAGTGGTACAGCTCAAGGCCCTGCTGGACCAGCCAGTCCTCAGTCAGCTGCTCCCAAAGATGTGAGCACAGCTTGGCCCAGCCCTTCAAGTTCAGCAGCAGCATCTAGACTTGTCAGCAATAATGAGGGATTTTTTGGCTATGCAGCAATAGCTGACTGATGCAATGACTTTCTGCTCTATGGAATTATGACCTCAAAGCACTGGGTCAATCAGGAGACACTGAGACTGACACAGGGGGTGGCAGTGTCTTACCGGATGATGAGGATGCCTTGTGACAGCTTCCGAGCCCGCTCCCGGAGGGGATGGCTGTTGTGGTATCGGTTGAGAGAGCCATGCTGTAGGCAAGGGCGAGACAGATATCAGCACCACTGAGCCGAAGCCCTCAGGCTTTCTGCATCCCCACACTTTGGACCAGAGCCTCCCCGGGCGACAGGCCTCTGTTAGGTCTGGCAATGCAAGGGCCAGGGAGGGCTTGGGGAAGTGTGTGGTTGGCATCAGGAACACAGCCTCCCTTGGCTTGTGGGGGTTAGTGCCTAAACCCCAAGGGTGACCCAAATCTGCGTATGCTCCAGTCCCTCCTGAGATGTGGTGCAGTATTCAAGTAAGACCTGCACACATCCTACATGCTTTATTTATTTACTTGTCTTTTTGGGACAAGGTCTCTCTATGCGGTTCAGACTGGCCTCAAACTCACGATGTAGCCCAAGCTGGCCTTGAACTTGTGGTGATCCTTCTGCCTCAGCCTCCTGAGTGCTGGGATGACAGGAGTGTGCCACCATGCCTGGCTCATCTCATTTTAAATGGTCAATGACTCTGTGAGGTGAGGTTTTTTTCTCTCTTCTGGCACAGACAGGGTGATACTGTGCTCGGGGTCACACAGCTGGGATGCTTAGGCACTGGGCTGGGAACAGACAGCCCTGCCCTTGTGGAGCGGGTGTTCTGGTGGGGGAGATGGTCAGACACAGGTCAATGACCAATGTGGCAGGGGTGATGTGACGGAAATGAGAGCGTGCCCGACAGCGATGTCAAGGAGGACCTCTGAGAGGTGACCTAGAGGGAGTGCAGGGCCTGGTGGTCAGGAGGAGGAGGCACCGGGCCATAACAAATACACCAGGCCTGATGGAAAGTGGAGGGGACGGCCACCAAGCAGAGCCCCGCAGGTCACCCAGGAGGGAGGCGCCTGAGACTCGTGTGATGAGCGAAGGCAGAGAGGCCTCAGTGCTTTCCACCCTTCCTCAGCGAGGCTCCAGCACAGGTCTCTCTGAGAACTGGGCACCCTTACCTTTTCTGGGTTGAAGTCCGGAGGGTAGTACTTGTTGACGCCTTTCCTTTCACCCTGGAAAGAAGAGAGACATGAAGTGGAGGGGACCCTCTGGAGAGCTGTCTGCAGCCCCGAGGAGCAGGAATGGGACCTGAGCAAGGGGCACTATGTCCAGCCTGCCTAGGGCATGGCCACTCACATGAAAACCTGCTGTCCTCACTCTGGAAGATCCTATGAGGTTCAGATTCTTATGTGAGTGGCTTGTGTACTTTTGGAGCGACCACAGATGGCCGCTAACTTTTTTGGAGACAGGGCCTTGCTATGTAGCCCAGGCTGGCCTTGAACTCATGGAGATCCTCTTCCTCAGCCTCCTGAGTCCTGGGATTACAGGTGTGTGCCACAGGTGATCACTGATTTAGGATGGTCTGACTTAACTGTTTTTATTTTTTTGGTGCTAGGGATGGAACCCAGGGCCTTGTACGTGTGCAGCAGACACCACTGCACCACAGCCTCAGCTCCTCGACCTAAGATTTCTTACTTTATGACAGTGCAAATGTGACCTGCTTTTAGTAGTGGCTGTCCTTGGAATTCTGATCTTTTCCCAGGCTAGTGATGTTCCACACTATTCTTTCAGGATGCTGGGCAGAGATGGAGAGCTGTAGCCCCAGGCAGCCCTGTGACCACGAGGGGAAACAGCTGACCCCCACAGTGCGCAGTGCTGCTGAGCGGATCCCACATGTGTGTGACCTGCTAGTTCTCCATGCACGATGGGTTTATTGGGCGGCAGCGCCATCCTCAGTTGAGGAGCATTTTTGTTTAACACTGGAACTATGCAAACACCAGTGGGACATACCTGTAAGCCCAGCACTCTGGGAGGCAGATGCAGGAGGATCATAAGTTTGGGCCCAGCCTGGGGAATTTACTGACTTAGTGAGATCCTGTCTCAAAATAAAAATAAAACTGGATGAGGTGGTGCATGCCTGCAATGCCAGCACTCAGGAGGCTGAGGCAGGAGAATTGACAGAATTCAAGGCTAGCATGGGCTACATATTAAGTTCAAGGCCAGCCTACACTACATAACAAGACCCTGTCTCTTTATTATTGTTGTCAAAAACAACAATAAAAAATAAAAAATGACGAGGGATGGAGCTCAGTGCAAAGGCCCTGAGTTCAATCCTCAGTACTGGAAAACAAAAACAAAAAACAATACACGCAGCTGAAGTGCAGATCTCCTGAAAAGGCACTGATTGTGGCCCAAGCCTCTCTCTGTCAAAGCTGGCGGGCACCCAAAGAAGTGACCTAAAGCCCCAGCAGGGTAGTGGCTCTCAGCTTGTCTGCTCGGTGCAACCACCTGAGGGTTGGAGTACAGGGGCTGGGCTGCCAAGGACCTGCTGGGTGTGGCTTGTGGCCCTGGGCTGTTCAGAGGCTCCCAGGAACACTGGGCTCTGCACCGCCCAGTACACACAGCCTCGCCAAGCAGACCTCAGACAGCCAAAAGGCAGAATGATACACATGGCCACCAACACAGGAATGACGGAAGAACCGTGGCCTAGGGCTGGGGTGTGGCTCAGTGTCAGCGTACAGCACTTGCCTGGCACATTCAAGGCTCAGGGTTTGAGTCCCAGCATTAAAAAGAAAAAAAAAAAGATTGAGGTTATGGTACATGAATTTTACCTCATTTGAAAAAAACGACAAAAGATCTCTTTACTTGGTAGACAGGGACGGCAGTGCACACCCCTGTAATTGCAGCTACTCTGTAGGCTGAGGCAGGAGGATTGCAAGTTCAAGCCTAACCTAGGCAATTTAACAAGACAATGTCTTAAAATAAGAAATAAAAAGGGCTGAGGATGTACCTCAGCAGTACAGGACCCCTGGGTTCAATTCCTTGTACTGCAAAAAACAAAGCAAAACAAAACAAAAAGAAACTCTAGATGATGATTTTAGTGCCGACCAAAGGTTTAGAACTACTTTATCAAGAGATCACAGTGGGGGGCTGGGGATTTAGCTCAGTGGCACTGCGCCTGCCTTGCAAGCCCAAGGTCCTGAGTTCAATCCCCAGTACCGGAAAAAAAACAAACAAACCACAGTGGTACATGCCTGTAATCCTTATATTTAGGAGGCTGATGCAGGAAGATGGCAAATTTGAGTCCTGCCTGGGCAATGTATCAAGGCCTTGAATCAAATATATAAAAAAATTAGGGTTGGGGATGTAACTCATTGGTAGGGTACCCCTGGGTTTCCATCTCTAGCAGTGCAAAAAACAAACTCAGAAAGAATTCAAGATCTGGCTTAGAATTTACCTTAGAGCTCAGGAAGAGGAGGATAGATACAACTTTGGGGCCTGACAAAAATGGAGCATGGGCCCAGGGATTTAGCTCAGTGGTTTTGCTGCCTGCTGCACAAGCGCAAGGACCCGAGTTCGATCCCCAGTACCAAAACAAAAAAATGGAGTGTGAACTCCAGGGAGCAGGAGGCTGCTACTCACCATCTTGGGAGCTGTTACTGGTCCTCGTCCTCAAGGGGGTCACTCGGAAAATGGCCTAATGCTGCCCTCCTCGGAGTCTGGAAAGGGGCCACAGGCGGTGAGGGTTGGGTAGTGCTGGCTCAGGAGAGCCTCTTGCCAGGGTAGGAAGTGTCCGAAGAGCAGTGCTCACCTGATGTGTGTGTGGGGGGCAGAGCGAGAGAGAATATGAATGAGAATGAACGAATGAGTCAGTCCCGTCCACTCTCTGGCTGATGCTGATTTCACACCTGATACTGCTCTTCTCTCGCTGTCACCAACCTAGGTGACCTCGTCCAGCCCCCATCATCTCCCGCCCCTTGCTCTGCCCTGTCCCCTCTACCTGCTCACTCCATGGCAGCCAGAGGGGGGCCTCTTGCTCAGCCCCTCCAGAAACTAACTTCCTTCCTCCCCGCTTTGCTGTCCTTCCTTTTTATGAAGAATGAATGAATAAATGAAGAAAGGTGTCGCGCAGGGCTGCGGTGCAGCTCAGTGGTAGCGCACTTGCCTAGCACGTGTCAGGCTCAGGGTTCCACCCCCAGCACTTCAAGAAGCAAAGGCTGACGTTATGGACATGGAAATTTGAATTTCACAGTTGCTACCTGTCACAAAATATTGTTCTTTTTAATTTTTTTCCCCTGACCCACTGGACCTGGCTAACTCCATTTCGTTTAAAATCAAATCTGTGTGGCTGCTGCTTGCCTCTTGGAGCACCCTACCCTCTTCCAACCACATGGGCTTCTTGGCTGTCCCCAGAGGTCAAATGCAGCTGGCCTGCACCTGGTGTTCCTCTGCCTTCTTGTCCCCTGTCTTGACTGCTCTTTTATCAGCCACCTGCTATTGGTCAGAGCCACCTCTCGCACTCAAACTAACACTCTTGGACTGGAGGTGTAGCTCAGCAGTGGAGCACTTGCTTAGCATGTGTAAGGCCCTGGGTTCAACCCCTGTACGGCAAAGAAAAAAAGTCACTTCTTCATGAGTGTTCTGCCACATCACCCTGTTTCTATTTATTGGTGTATACATTGTCTTTCTTGTTGGGTTATCTGTGCTGTATTCCCCAAATCTAACATAGTGTCTGGTCCCTGATGAATCTAACTGGGTAATAGTCAGGTGTGGTGGCCTGTTCCTGTAGTCTAGGAACTTGGAAAGCTGAGGCAGGAAGGTTGCAAGTTCAAGCCCAGCCTTGGCAACTTGGCGAGACCCTATCTCAAACTAAAAAAAAATTGAAAAAGATCTGGGATGTATCTCAGGGGGAAGGCTCTGAATTCAATCTTCGGCATCCCCCGCCCAAAGCACCCCCCCAGCAAGAAAATAAAGAAGCTAAATAACCAAGAGAGGTTCCAGTACAATCTGTATGGGTGACCTAGGTACAAAATCCAGGCAGAGGAAGTAGGAAATTACCCCCCATGTTTGGAGAAGACTTTTAGGTCAAATAAAAGGAAGTTCTAGCATACAGTAAGGAAAGATATTGCACAGCAAGGAATGAGAATTGGCCAGTTTTCTCTGTCAGAAGCCAGGTAGTCAATATTTGTGGCTTTTCGGCCCAGAAAGAATGTGCTCAATAACTCAAATGTGCCTCACACCTAAAAGCAGGCAGATGATACACAAACAATAATCTGTTTTATGCCCCCCCAACCATTAAAAATTTAAAACCATTCTCAGCTTGAGCACTGGACAAAATCAGGGGTGGGCTGGATTTGGCCTGCAGGCCTGGTTTACTGGCCACTGCTCAGGAAGCAGGAAACTTGGTCTCTAATTAGCAATCTATCAACCTATTTGCTTGTGCTCTGAAGTTTAGAGTGCCAGCCACTGTGAATATTCAGTCTGATACTGGAAATTTAGCATGTATTGTTACTATTATCTCCAGGTAATGAACAAGGACATGGGGGGCTGGGTAACTTGGGTAGCATCAGAAGCTGACAGCAGAGATTCTGATGCAATGAGGGGCTGAGGTGGTGCAAAGTCCCAAATGAAACTGTTCTGCCACCAACCCAGATGATTCTTGGTCTTGGATTCTCTTGGATGCGAGCTTTCCAAGGTCCTTTCCACTGTAAAAATACCTTTGCTAACAAAATAACTTAAATGCCAGGCTTTGGGGGTCACAGCTCCCTGGGCTTAAATCCCAGCTTCATTCCTCCCTAGCTGGGTGGCCTTGGTCAGTGTGTGGATTCCCCTGAAATTGTATCTTCTCACTGGGAAACAGTGGACAGGGACAGAACTGACTTTCTTGGCTTGCTGTGAATGAAGTAAGAGAAGTGCTTGCATAAAGGAAAGACTCAGCTTACAGGAGCTGTTGAGTATGTGTGTGTGAGAGAGGGACAGAGACTTAAGATGGTTTTGTCATCCCAGTGAATAATACAGGCAAGATTATAGGCTGATGTGCAGAAATCAAGGCCAAGGGTAACTACTGACCCCATTAGCTCACGGCTTGAAATGGGATCTCGAATCTGCTGCTTCCTTAGCTGCCTGGCATTGGGCAAACTGCTTACTCTCTCTGAGCCTGTTTCCTCATCTGGAAAATAGGGGTTTATAAAAGTACTGATCTGCTAACGTTGCTCTTAAGACTCAGCGATTGAACTACTCAGGACAGCACCTGACGCCAAGTCAAAGGCTGGCGGTTTTGGTTATTTCTCTCGCCCACCGTTTTACACAATCTTCACTACCACTCAACGAGGTAGGGACCTGAAAGTCTCATTTTCTAGAGGAAACTGAGGAGCCTTGCGGGCGTAACAGGGGCCAGAGCTGGGTAGGGAATCGGAGGACTTAGGTCAGGGGTCGCAGCGGGGACTCGGTCCGGCTCCAGGCGAGTCCGTCCGTCTGCCCACCCGCACTTACCTCTCCTCCACCTGACGTCACGCCGCCACTGTGACCGGAAGTGCGCCCAGGGCGTGAAAGCTTGGGTAGCGTCCACCCCGCGTGACGCAGACGTCAGGGCCAGCTAGCAGCGCCGCACTGATTGGCCCAATGGGGAATACGCTACAAGAATAGACCAATCCAGGCCTGCCCCGCCCCGCCGTGCTCACGTCACTATATCCCCCCCTTCCATCCGTCCCGCCCACCACGCGAGACCCAATCCGAAGCCTGCTTCTTGACCCGCCCACCTAGGAGCTCTGTTTTACTTCCTTAAATCCCACCGAACCCGGTTGACCTAAGTGGAGCTAGGTGTGAATGAAACTGGCCTCATTTTGGGTTTTTTTTTTGAGCTGCTGGAGATGAAACCCAGGGCTTCGTGCATGCTAGGTAAGCGCTCTGCCAGAGCTACATCCCTAGCCCCAGTCTCCTGATTTTGTGCAATTAGTGAATTAAGAATTGTTTTTCCATTTTAAATGTTTTTTGGGAAAGAATAATGTTTCTTGCCTTGTGAAAATGATAAAAAACTAAACTTTCAGTGTCCATAAAGTTGTATTGGAACACAGCCACGTCTATGACTGCTACAAGGCAGAGGGCAGAGTTAAATGGTCACAACAGAGAGCTTATAGGCCAAGGAGCTTTAAATATTTACCATCTGGCCCTTTATAGAAGAGGGCAGAACCTTGCTTAGCGCCTCCAAACCAATCGGGCCATGCTTTCTGCGTAGAGACTTTTGAATTCATTTTGTTTTTTTTACTTTTCTTTTTTTGAGACGGGGTCTCGATATGTAGTTTAGGCTGGTTTCAAACTCAGGGCAGTCCGCCTGGCTCCACCTCCCGATTGCTGAGATTACAGGTATGTGCCACCACACCTGTTTTGTTCTTTTGATACAGGGGATCGAACTCGGGCCCTTGTGCTTGCGCAGCAGGCGGCGAAACCACTGAGCTACACCGCGGACCCCATCACGCTTGTTTTGAATTCACTTTTGTATCTTGTGGGGCCTAACAGAGTCCGTTATTTCATTCAATGGGCTATTTATTTGCAGTTCTGGGGACTGAACACAGCTACATTCCAGCCCTTTTAATTTTTATTTTACTTGCAGTATTGGGGATTGAACCAAGGGGCGCTCTACCAGTAAGCTACATCCTAGCCCATTTTATTTTGAGACAGGGTCTTGCTAAATTGTCCAGGAAGGCTTTAACTTTCAATCTTCCTGCCTCAGCTTACCCAATAGCTGGGATAATAGGCAGGGGCTATCAAACCCAGCTCAGTGTCTGTTTATCAGGCATCTACTACATGCTAGGCCCTGCAGACTCAGGGAAAAAGAAAGGCACACCGTTTTCTCCACGGTGAAGCAGCTATGTCCTGGCAGTTCCCCCCAGGTGGTGTGAGAAGCAATGATGACACCATCAGATTATGCGATCCAGGTTTTAGCCTGGTTCTCATGGAATCATGGTGCTCACTGCTTTCTCTGCCAGTTCTCAGGACTTAGATGCCTCATCTTAGGGAATGGTCCTACAAGGTGGATTTTTATTGATTTTACTGATTAGGAGATAGATCCAGAGAGTTCGAGTAACTGGCCCAAGCCCACGGACCTGTGAGGAGAGGAGGTCAGCTATACCAGCTGATTTGAAATCTTAAGCCCTTGTCCTCTGAGCTATAGTTAGGGGTTGTATGAGGCCAGTAGACTCTTTAACAGGGTGAGGATTTAGGAGCAAGCAGAAGTGAGGGCTGAGACCCCTGAAGGATGAATGAGGCAAGGTGGGGTGGAGGCAGCCTCACAGGTCCCCAGAGTGAGGTGGAGCTGTGCTCAACCTTAATGAGCTCACTCAGTACGCCTGGATTTTGACTGAGCACCAGAACCAAGAGGTAGTGACTGAAAAGTCAGAGTGTCACCTTGTAGCCAGTATTTTGGGCAAGGGGAAATGTGAGAACCCTCAGCTTTCAAAGAACACTAGACCCTCAGTGTTGATATTTACAGGTGGTGGAAGCCAGACCCTGGCCTGAGAGATGGAGAAGCCATTCCTTAAGGTGCCCAGAGCATGCCAGGGACTGTGGGTCAGAGGAAGTCTCGGGAGAAGACAGCAGCTGGCCTGGGCAGGGTGGTGGACAGGGACCCGCATTCCAGCTCTGGGTCTGCAAACAGCACTGTTTCCTGGGGAAACAGTAACCCTGGCCAGGTTCCTCTGTTTGCTCCTCTGTAAGGTGAGCGTGAAGGCAATACACTCCGATGAATGTATGTGTAAAATGGTTTGAGGAAGAAAAGGGGAAGAAGGCAAGGCAGAGCATTCCAAGATTTGGGGGACAAGAAGAGTCACGGTGGAGAAGGCAGGCTCTAAGCATGAGGTTCTTCAATCAAGTGGAAACCCACTTCCCCGGTCCTGGTACCTTCCAGCCCTATTCCTGCCTGTGAAGGCAACAGAGACCAAGCCCGATTCTTGCTGGCCACACTCCAGCTCCCCGCCACCTCTAAGGGTCTGTGTGGTGTGGGGTTGGAAGCCAGGGCCTTGCGCATGCTAGACAAGCACTCTATCACCGAGTGACACCCCCAGCCCTTTCAAGGTCTCACTAAATTGCCCAAGTGAAACTGGAACTTTTTTTTTGGTACCAGGGATTGAACTTGGGACCTTGCGCTTTTGAGGCTGGTGGCGGCACCACTGAGCTAAATCCCCAGCCCAGCAACTGGAACTTTTGATCCTTCCACCTGGCCTTCTGAGTAGCTGGGATCCCAGGAGTATGCAACCACACTGGGCTTTAGGTCTTCTATATATAACTGCTCTGTGATTGTGGATGAATCTTCTGAGGTGTCTGCCCTACCTCCATCCTCTACTTCGTGAGAACCCCCAGTCTCTGGAGGTTGCTGCTGTCATTTGTACTTAGTGTACTCCCCCTTGGCAGTGGCTCATTGGGCAAGGGTACCAGTTTTAACGGAAGCTGGGCCAATCAGGTTTGCTCCTGGGAATTGTTTTTATTTAAAAATTTTCTTGGGCCAGGGATTTAGCTCAGTGGCACACACCTGCCTCGAAAGCGCAAGGTCCTGAGTTTGATCCCTGGTACCAAAAGAAAATTATTACAGTAAAAGACACATTGCTATTTTTTTTAAGGAAGTTTTTTTTTTGGTACTGGGGATCGAACTCAGGTCCTTGCACTTGTGTGAGGCAGGCGGCGGAACCACTGAGCTAAATCCCTGGCTCCACATTGCTATTAATTCCCATCAAGATACTCTCGGCTTTGAACACACTTATCCCATCATCTGTGCCACTTCCTGAAGCAGTTCTGGAAGTCCTCTTTCATGAGTGTCTTTAGTTGTGCTATCAGGAGAGCCTGGGAATTTTGAACTGGCATCCTGAAGTTCCTGACCTGAGGACATGGAAAGTTGGGACTTAGTGGGACACTGTCTTTAGCCGTGTGCAGAGGAAAGCAGAGGTCAGCAGCCATGGAACGAGACAGGAAGAGAAAGGGAACAGGAGGAGGAAGACAAGAGTTAAAGGAAGAAAGAGGGAGGGGGAGGGGAGGAGAGAATGAGAATCTCATGGCAGAAAAGGGAGGAGCCCAGAAACCTACACTTGCTTTTTAACAATCCACTCTTGGTAGCAGGGGATTTAGCTCAGTGGTTTTACCCCCTGCTGCGCAAGCGCAAAGACCCAAGTTCAATCCCCGGTACCAAAAAAAATCCACTCTTGGTAACTAATCCAGCCCTGCCCATTCCTGAGGTGGGAATGAATCCTTCCACTGTGCCCTTAACTGCCTCTACTAGGCCCCGCCTCTTAAAGATGGCTCATCTCTCAACAGGAGTGCTGTAGACTCAGCTTCCAGTATAGGAATCTCTGGGGGACAAATCACATCCAGGCCACAGTAATGCCTCAGTCACTGTGGTGCTATTCTTAGTGGAACTTGCATCGAAGTGGGCGCTTCTGGGATAATCTTCCTCTGCCTTCTGCAGAGTGAGCCTGGGTCAAGACTTCAACAGAGAAGCTGCCCCGACCACTGGTCACCCTGGTGCCTCCTCAGATAGGTACATGGCTTTGTTCCCTCAGTTCTCCAAGTTTTTGGTACCGGGGATCGAACTCAGGACCTTGCGCTTGCAAGGCAGGTGGTGGAACCGCTGAGCTAAATCCTCAGCCTCCTCCCAAGTTTCTTAACAAAAATCTGCCAAAGAACCTGGTTTGTCCCTGAATTTTTCTTTGTTTTAAAATATTTTTGAGATAGAGTCTTGCTAAGTATTTCAGACTGGCCTTGAACTGTGTAACCCAGACTGGCCTCAAACTCATGGTGATCTTCCTGCTTCAGCCTCCTGAGTGCTGGGATTGAAGGCTTGAGCCACTCCGCCTGGCTTGTCCCTGAATTTTCTAACCCAGCCCGAAGTACCATGCGATTTTATAACTTGCTGAGCTAGAAGGGCCATGGGCACTTTCATGAATGCTGGGGTGCAGGGACGGGGTGTGATTCCATGGTAGACCATTTGCCTAGCGTGTGTGAGCCCTGGGCTCCATCCCCAGCACTGGAGGGAAATAGGTAGAGTCCTCTTTTCTCTCTTGACGACACATTCTAAGAGTGAGAGTATGTTTGGTGAACCTAGTGCTTCCAAAGCCATAAAGCAGAGCTGACGGAATAAAGAATTAGCCCCTCCAGCTAACATGAAGGTAAGCAGCTCTCCTACAGGTCAAATGCTGTATTAAAATGTAGTAAAGAATGTACTTCTTTTTTTTTTTTTTGGAGACAAATGTCTCGCTATGTAGCCCCGGCTGACCTCAAACTCATGGCAATCCTCCTGCCTCAGCCTCCCGAGTGCTGGGATTACAGAAGAATGTATTATTGAGACAATGGACAATGAGAAATATTTGAATGTCTCTGATACATCCATATAACCACAAATCCATGTATTTTACCTTTCTGTTCAGCAAGGTAACCTAACATAAAAAAGTTCTGTTGGGTAAACATAAGAATTTAAAGAATTTTAGAGCTAGGCATGGTGGTATGCACCTGTAGTCCCAGATCCAGGCTACTTGAGAGGCCAGGATGGGAAGGTTGCAAGTTCAAGGCCAGGATGGGTAGTCTAGTGAGACCCTTTCTCAAAAGAGGATGGGGGTATAGTTCAATGTTCCCTGGGTTCAATGCCTGGTAAAACACACACAAAAGAATTTTAAACATATAGGAAGAAATGGGGACCAAGTACTCAGCAGAAAAATAAATCTGTATCAGTGATCTGTGATGGTAATGTCATAATGATGACATCATAGTGGCGATGAAATCATAATGATGTTGTCCACTTGCCTTTTCATTTCTCCCTCTCTGCTTCTGCTGTTGACCCACTGAAACTTCCCTAGGGCACAAGGGTGTGATGAAGTCCCACGAGGTCCCACGACAAATACGAATGGAAAAAGTCAAGACTACTAAATGGTGGAAAGGTGTGTTTGGGGGGGACAGTCACAGACACTGTGGGCCAGATCATAAGAATCAGCACAGCCACCTTGGTCTTGAACCAAGTGGCCACCAGGATGTTCAGCCTGGCGCCAGGGTGGGTGCCCTGCAGAGGGGTGATGGGAACAGCAAGCGCTCCATGGCTCCGCCCACATGGAGAGCTCCTTTTGCTAGCATCTGTTAACCTTATTTGCCTCTGAAAAACTGTTGGCTGTGAATAAGAAAGGGGACCTCCCTTTCAGAATCATGGAAGCCAGAGGCCCCATCATGCTTTGTGGCACTGTAACAGGAAGAAACACACAATGGAGACATTTACCTTCCAGAGCTCAGAGTTGTCTACATACAAGAATAATATGAGGGCTGGGGATTTAGCTCAGTGGTTCTGCTGCCTGGCTCACAAGCGCAAGGACTTGAGTTTGATTCCTGGTACCAAAAAAACCCCCCAAAAACTCAGGCACTTTGTTTTTTCTTCTTGTAGTGCTGGGGAGGAACCCATAGCCTTGTGCATGGTCTAGTCCAGGCACTGCTGGTACTTTATAAGGTGTCTGAACTTTTAAAAAGATCTGTGAGCCAGTGTGGGGGTGTGTGCTGATCATCCCAGCACTCTGGGAGGCTGAGGCAGGAGGACTGCAGGTTCCAGCCCAGCCTGGGTAACTCAGCAACTTACTGAGACCCTGTCTTGAAATAAAAAATAAAAGGGCTGATGAAGTAGCCCAGTGTGAATGCCCTGGGTTCAACCCCCAGTACCTGAAAAAAGAAAAAAAACAAGGATTTGTGGCTGTCTTAGGGTGTCTATTTTCTGTTACCGTCAGAGAATATCTGAGACTGGGTGATTTATAAACAATTTTATTTTCGCTTGCAGTTCTGGGGGCTGAGAAGGCCACTGGGGAGGGCTTCAAGCTACATCAGCTCAGGGTGGAAAGCACAAAGGCAGCTGGGGACAGGCGGGCACATGTAAGGGAAGAAGCAAGAGGCAAAGCACAAGCAGCCTCACTTTAAAGCAACCAGCTCTTGTGGTAACTAGTCCAGCCCTGCAAGAGTGAGAACTCGATCCTACCTTGAAAATCAACCTAGCCCTGTGAGAAAGGAATGAATCACGTTCCATACCTATTATGCAAACAGCTGTTAAAGATCGCGCTTTCTCTCCACACTATGCTAGCCACTGTGTTATTACCTTTCCTCCGCTGGCACAAAGCACCTGACACCCACAGGCTTCAAGGAGAGGTTGATTTGGTTCATGGTTTCAGGTAGTGCAGTCCATGCCTTGCTCCAAGGCAGAAACATGGTAAAAAGGCCTGGGGAGAACAGCTGCTCACCTCATGGAGGCGGGAAAGCAAAGTGGGTTGTTAGGAGAGTGGAGAGGAAAGGGCTGGGAAACAGATGCAGAGTCCAAGGTCAGACCACCATGCCCCACTTGGATGCACCTGGAAGTGTGTCACTAATCTGGCAGGCTTTTTGATCCAGTCAGGCTAACAATCACAGTAGTCACAAGTACAAAGCCTTAGTATGAATTCTGGCAGGGACAAATCATATTCAGACTAAATTGGGGCCTTGATAGGGCTGAAAGAGTATTCTCAGGAGCTGTTAGGTACTATGCTTGGTTCTCTTGCTTGTTACTTTAGTTGAGCTGTTGGGCAATAGGAAGTGTCTGACAATCTCTGGAAATCTCATCTTTGAAATCTGAGAAATCAGGGAACTGAAGACAAGAGAGATAATCATAGCATTTCTGGTTTCCTAAAAGCCTTTTTTGGGGGGGAAGTTCAGACAGGGTCTCACTATGTAGTTCAGGCTGACCTTGAACTCAATATGTAGCCCAGGCTGGGCTTGAACTCACTGTAATTCTCCTGCCTCAGCCTCTCAAGTGCTGGGATGACAGGCATGCACTACCACGCCAGGCTGCTAAAAGCTTTTGCTTATAGCTGGGAAGAATATGCTAGGGATGTTCCATGCTGCCAACACTGACTTCAAGAGGTAAGCATTTCCTGGTTTGTTTTTTTTTCTGGCTCTACTAGAAATTGAACCAGGCCTCATGCATGCTAGGCACGTGCTCTACTAAGCCATATCCTCAGCCTTTTATTTACAGTTTGAGAGAGGACCTTGCTAAGTTACCTAGGCTGGGGTCCTCCTGCCTCAGCCTCATGAATAGCTGGGATTAGAGGCATGTGCCACAGCACCCAGCTAACCAAAACTGTCTTGCTCTCTGGAGCTTATGCTGTAGTGGGCTCAGTGTGGACCACGCTGGTCAGATCCCTGTGAGCAGGATCCCAGTTACTTCAAGTTCCCACTCTTTTTGGGTAGCACACTGTCAGGGAAAGGTTAAAACGAGTGTCATCTGGAATGTGTGTGTTCACTGAGGTGACACTGGCTGAATGCCCTTCTGCAGGGAGGCTGGCAACCTCCTGGGAAAGGAGTGTACAGAGATAACTGTTAACACATGAAGTACTGCTCGCTCTGAGAAGGTTCTGAGAAGCCAAGCCTGGGAACAGTCCCTCTAGCCACGCAGGCCTGTTGGGACCAAGTCACTTTTGTCTGAATGCAGTACTTAAGGAACAGAGAAACTGGGTATGGTGTGGTGTTTTCTCTCTTGCTTGTTGAAGGCTCCATCTCATAAAAGATCCTTCCCCTGGAGGATTCCCCTTCATCTTTGGTGCTGTCCCTTACCTTGTGTGGTATTATTTGACTATGCTTATTATCTGCTGTACTTTTATAATAAACTTACTTTGATCTTTTAAAAATCATTGTGTGGCTCTTCTCTGTTCATGCAGATCCGAACCTCAAATTTCTGTGGCTGCATACATGTCACTCCTTGCTGTCACACATAGTGAATCTCCTGACTTGTTACCCTGACTTGGCAACTGTGGTGCACACAGAGAGGCAAGTGGATGAGGAGAATGAAAGGGATAACTTAGCTCTTTGCTCGAATATGAGCTGGGTCAGAATAACTGATGTGAACCCTGGGGCTCATCCTGTAATTTCTTCACTCTATCACAGAGCATTCTGAAAGGGCAGTTTTAAATATTTCCTCATGTAAACATCAGGGTGTCTTGTGCCTAAACATGGTCATTTCCCACAAACGAGCCACTGCCTCTGCTGCACTAACCACCATGATTCACTTGTTAGATTCAGAATAATAATGAGTTTGTCTGAGGGTTAACAACAGCCGGGAAGAACTGACTTGGGAAGATGTGTTTAGGAGCCCAAGTTGGGAGGCTGAAAGAACAGAAGACATTTGGAGGAGAATAGGTCAAAGGCAGAGGCTGGGTGGCATCTGTACCTGGGGGAGGGGGCGATCGGTCAGATCCTGAGCATTTCCAGGTCCTGAGAAATCACAGGCTGGGCATGATGACACAAGCCTGTAGTCCCAGCTACTCAGGAGGCTGAGGCAGGAGGATCCCAAGTTTGAGGACAGCCTGGGCAACTAATCAAGATCCTGCCTCAAAACAGAAAGGAATGGGGTATATCTCAGTGCTTCAGTGCTTGCCTACCATGCACGAGGCCCTGGGTTCCAGCTCTAGAACTGCAAAGTCACCCTAACAACCTTATTTGACAGAGGGGAAAACAAGTCCTGGGAAGATAAATGACAAGGTCACAGAGCTTACAGTAGCAGAAATAGGGACCAAACTCAGAGCTCCTGATTCTCAACTGGCGCTTGTTCTACTCAGTTGAACTGTACAGTCCAATTATTCACTGTGTCATACACTTTGACTTGGTCAACCTGTTTCTGGAACATCTGACTGTTTAATTTTTATTTAATATTTTGGTTTTTTGAGACAGGGTCAAACTACATAGTTTATGCTAACCTTGAACTATGTAGCCCAGGATGGCCTCAAATTTACAGTAATCCTCCTGCCTCAGACTCCCAAGTGCTGGGATTACAGGCATACACTACCACACCTGGTGGGCCATTTAAAACCTCAGTATGAGATAGTTAACATAAACTTTCTTTGTCCCACACATAATATTTACTTGATGGGGCGGGAATTTAGCTCATTGGTTCTGGTGCCTGCCTCGAAAGCGCACGGTCCCGAGTTTGATCCCCGGTACCAAAAAAAAAAAAAAAAAAAAGATGACATTTACTTGATGAATTTGCCACAGTAAGATTCACAACATCTAATAAAATACAACAATTATAATAATATACCAAATCAAAATTAGTTGAAACTTACGAATTATTCCTGGCACTTTCCATTTAATATTTTCAGATAAACTGGATACGTGAGGGACTGATATCATATACACAGGAAGTTGGGGAGCCGACTTGACCACAGAGGGGATGCCATGTGGGCTGAAGAACTTGCCCGCAAAGTACGGTGTTGAAAGTCGTGGACCTCTCGACCCCTAAATCCAACACTGTGCTCTACCATGTTTATAGCCTGGACGGTGTTCGGGGCCTGGTGGACATAATAGATTGGGCACCATCCTCACCCCCGCTAGGGCTTTCCATGGGGTCACCCAGGGAGGACCCCTCTCCCTCCATGTTCTGCCAAGCTCCAGTTCAGCCCCTGGGGTGTGTCGCTTGCCTTTCTGGATCTCAGATTCCTTTCCTACAAAATGAAGACAGTAACACCCACCTCCTCCAGCTGTTGTGGGGTCCCGTCACCCCATCTCAGCCCCAGGCCCGCCCTGCTCCAGGTTCTTTAAATCCCCAAATCCTCCTCTTAATACGGGCTGAGAACTACCAACGGGGAAACCGAGGCTGGGAGACCACGATCTGTTTTGAGGAAGAGGGCTGGCTTAGAAGGCGGAGGTCTTCTCTAGGGTCTCCTCGAAGGGCTCTCAGACTCAAGTAGGTACCCAGCCCAGCTTCTTGTGCCTCTTGAAGTCCTCGGACTCTAAAGCTCCAACGGATCCAGACGCGAGCTGAGGCGCCCGGCGTGCGTTCTGCTTCCGCCTCTACGTAACGACAGCTCGCGAGCGCACGCGCAAACGCGGGCTGGGGGCCTCCTGGGGAGGCTGGTTCTGCGCCCAAAGTCCCGCCCAGACTCCGGTGAGGTTGTCATGGCAACAGGGGCGTGGCAAATATGCGACTGAGTCATCTGTGTGTGTTGGCGAAAAGTCCTTTGCTTTCCGAGCTGGTCTGAGTTGTTCTTTGTTGTTCGTCCGGTCTCACCCGAGTTGAACAGAAACTGACTTTTTATCCTTAGGAGCATTTTTTTACGCCCACAAGAGGAAGATCTGGCTATGATTAGATGCTGGCGGAGCCTCCGCACTTTAAAGAAGTCCCAATGTTGATCCTGTTCATTTAAGTACGGATCATTAAAAACAACGAAAAACAGAAAACTTTTGCCTTTGGGTACTGTATACTTTATTAAGGTCATCTGTAATTTATCTGACTTCTCTAAGCCAGATCTTTGTTTAGGCAAAATCGCAACTGGGAACGTTGCAGAAATGAGTCAGTGGTGACTAATTCCATTAGGAAAGCATTCTTTACCACAGGGGTCACAACAGGATGTCTTGAAATAGAAAACTTCCTCTGAAAGTTTGAGAAAGGTGCACTTCCTATAAAATCCATTTAGATTCCAGATCCTCTCCCCCCTTTTCTGGGCAGCTGTATTTGATTGAAGAATCATGTGCCCTGAACACGAGCGGCGGTTGAAGGTTTGGGAACAGGGCTGAAACCCACAGGCTGTTTCCCAAGCTGGAGGAGCGAAGGGCTCTTCCTGATTCCCGTGTTAAAGGGGGAGCCTTATTCTGTTGGCATGAGGTTTCCATGTGCCAGCTACTTTCCTACACGGTATTTGTACAGTGTCAAAAATCACATCAAGGAGGGCGGGGGATGTAGCTCAGGGACACCGCGCCTGCCTGGCATGCTGAAGGTACTGAGTTCAATTCCCGATACAGGAAAACAAAAAAATCACCTCAAGGAGCTGGGCGTGGTGTAATCCCAGCACTCTGGAGGCTGAGGCAGGAGGACCGCCCTGAGTTTGGGGCTAGCCTGGGCTACATTATATAGTGAGTTCAAGGTTAGCCTGAACTACACAGTGAGACCCTGTCTCAAATCAATTGAGGAAAAATACAAAAAATATAGGTTGGAATTGGGAAGACTTCAACCCACGTGGTAGGACGTTCCTTTTGATCAATTAGGACAGTTTAGAAAGCTTTAGGAAGAAAACATTTTGCCCTGTTTAGTGATCAGCTCTTCTGCATGAACATTCATGGAAAGGCAAACAGCTTTTTTAACTGACTGGCCTAGATCTGATTGGTTTAATTTCACTGAGTCATGCTGAGGTAGACATAGCGTATGCTTTTTTTTCCCCATAGCTTATGCTTTTTGTGTGTGTTTTGTTTATGATTAGAGCTAGCATTTATGAGATGTCAGAATGGCTTTTTTTTCTATTTTTGTGGTGTAGGGGATCAAACTTAGGGCCTCATGCATGCTAGGCAAGCACTGTACTCCTGAGCTACACCTCTAATCCTATTTATTTATTTATTTATTTGGTACTGGGGGTGGAACTCAGGTCCTTGGGCTTGCGCAGCAGGCAGCGAAACCACTGAGCTAAATCCCCGGCCCTAATCCCTTTTATTTTAGTATTTATTTATTTAAAAACATTTATAACAGAAGACACATTGGCATTACTCCCCCCCTCAAAATATACCCCCTCACTAAAATGTGCTCATTCCAACATTCTTGACACCCTCTGAAGCAGCTTTGGAAGTCCTCTTTCCTGAGTGTCTTTAGTTGTGCTGTTGTGGCTGCCTTGATGTCCTGAATCAATTCAAAGCTTTATCTTTCATGGTCAGTTTGACTTTAGGGAAGAGACAGAAGTCACACAGTGTCAGAGCTGGTGAATAAAGTGGATCAGGACACACAATGATGTTTTTATTTGACAGAAATTGCCACAAATGATTGACCAATGAGGTATTTAAGTAAAAAATTTATTATAGTTAAAGATACATTGTCATTAATTCCTCTCAAAATACTTCTCTTTGCTTTAAGTACACTCACCACTCTTTCCAACTTTCGAACTCAGGACCTTGTGCTTTTGAGGCACGTGTGGCACTGCTGAGCTAAATCCCTGGTGGGTTTATTTTATTTTTGAGATGGGTTCTTGCTAAGTTTCCCAGACTGGCCTTGAATTTGTGGTCCTCTTGCCTCAGCTTCCCAAGTGGTTGGGATTACAAGCGTGCAAGAAATATGTTAGTTCCAGGAAGCTGTATAAAAATATATAGCCAAAGGGAAAAGAGGCAAAAGTGTTGAAATGTCACATTTCATTGCTATTTGAAAAACATGTTAATGTTGTAGCTATTGCCTCTAAATGGGAGCCAGGAGGGATGACTCCCTGTGATCTGTGGCTATTTAATACTCCATCCCAGTGGGAATGGCCAATTCAGCTGGAAGAAACTTAGCCTTGAGAAACAAAGAAAACTATGTCTGTTATTTAACTTCTTGTGAGCAAGAGATTATGAATTTTATTTATTATTTTGGTTTTTTGAAACAAAGTCTCATTGTGTAGTCTAGGCTGGCCTTGAACTCACTATGCTGCACAAGCTAGCCTTGAACTGGTGATCCTCATGCCTCTGCCTCCCAAGATCTGTGATCACAGGCATGTGCCACCACACCCAGCTTTTTTTTTTTTTTAAACTATGAGTGGAATTTACAACATTAAACACTGACGTTTCTTACTTCTAGAAGCTTCCCTCTCTCTATACGTTGCTCGACTTATCTGTCTTGGAAAACTACCTTTCTCTTGCCTTAGAAAACCTGACTGGCTTTGCTCTTGACTGCTTTTGAGTTTAGCTTTCTAAGGAGCATTGGAGGAACTGTACGAGATAATGTGACAAACTTGGCATTCCTAACACCAATAAAACTATCAGTTTATTTTGTGTGTGAGACAATTTAAGAGAAAGCAGTATGAATCAACCTCAATTATTTGTAAGTAAAATTAGCTTCAATTTGTCACCTTCCTCTGCACTGTTATTCAAACAAATTGGGAGAATGGTGTTCGGTTTGGATTAGGGAATGCATGATTCTTTTTTTTTCTTCTGGTGCTGGGGATCGAACTCAGGACCTTGCGCTTGCAAGGCAGATACGATCCCACTGAGCTAAAACCCTGGTCCTGCATTAGGGAATGATGGGAGCACAGTCTGGACCTAAACTAGTGATTTTTTTTTTTTTTTTTAAGACAAGGTCTCACTTTGTAGTTCAGGCTGGGCTTGAACTCACTATGTAGCCCAGGGTGGCCTTGAATTTGGGGCCATCTTCCTGCATCAGTCTCCCAAGTGCTGGGATGACAGGCGTGTGCCAACATGCCCAGTTAAATTAGTAAAATTTAAAATGGAAAATCCTTTAACTCTTAGGGGTGGCACAGTGTAGTTATGAAGAAGGTAGATTCTGGTGTTGGGATATCTGATTGGAGCTTTTTCTCTGCTACATGTTTTCCTGAAAATAAGACCTACCTGGAAAATAATCAGCCTTGAAAACCAGAGATCAAAAATACCAGCCTGGAACGGACTCAAGTTTGATTAGCCCGGCAAGGAGCCAAGTTTGATCCTCTGTACAAAAACAAAAAACAAAACCCCAAAACCCCAGTGGGGGTGGGGTGGGGGTGGGATTTAGCTCAGTAGTGCTGCCCCCTGCCTCACCAGTGCAAGGTCCTGAGTTTGATTCCTGGTACCAAAAAAAAAAAGCTCCAATTAGCCTATCCTTCCTCTACCTGCCATCATTTTTCTCTTGCTTGGTGACTACTCTGTAAGGCAGGTTATTATCTGTTAAGCGGGGATTGTTTGGGTTTGCAATGCCCCAGGAACAGAACTTAGATTCAGGTTATTTATTTGGCAAGCATCCAAGAAAATGTGCCCTGGATGCAATTAAACAGGCAAGAAAGACTTCAATCTGTTTGGGGGCTGAGGGTGCAGCTCCGCAGTACAGCCCTTGCCTGGCACGTGCAAGGTCCTAGGTTCATCCCCAGCACACTCTCCCCCAAAGTGGTATATACACCCATAATGGAATATTGCTCAGCCTTCAAAAGTAAGAATTCCTGCAAGATGGGAAGTGGGGGTGATTTAGGGAGCTCAGGTTGTTAAGAAA